GGTGCCACTCCTTTCAGCTAAGAACAGGAAACTGAGGCAACAATTTGGACAAGCTCATCGAAATTGGACAATAGAAGATTGGAAAAACGTAGCCTGGTCTGATGAGTCTCGATTTCTGCTGCGACATTCGGATGGTAGGGTCAGAATTTGGCGTCTACAACATGAAAGCATGGATCCATCCTGCCTTGTATCAACGGTTCAGGCTGGTGGTGGTGGTGTCATGGTGTGGGGAATATTTTCTTGGCACTCTTTGGGCCCCTTGGTACCAATTGAGCATCGTTGCAACGCCACAGCCTACCTGAGTATTGTTGCTGACCATGTCCATCCCTTTATGACCACAATGTACCCAACTTCTGATGGCTACTTTCAGCAGGATAATGCGCCATGTCATAAAGCTGGAATCATCTCAGACTGGGTTCTTGAACATGACAATGAGTTCACTGTACTCAAATGGCCTCCACAGTCACCAGATCTCAATCCAATAAAGCATCTTTGGGATGTGGTGGAACGGGAGATTCGCATCATGGATGTGCAGCCGACAAATCTGCGGCAACTGTGTGATGCCATCATGTCAATATGGACCAACCTCCCTGAGGAATGCTTCCAGCACCTTGTTGAATCTATGCCACCAAGAATTGAGGCAGTTCTGAAGGCAAAAGGGGGTCCAACCCGTTACTAGCATGGGGTACCTAATAAAGTGGCCGGTGAGTGTAGTTCCATATGTATTAAATGGTGACAATATTTGACCACTCTTTGAGTGTACAGTAGGATATCTCAGTATCTATTTTACACCACCAGCAAGACATTTTACATAATTCCTTATTTTCATTTCCTGTTGCTCTTCAACTTCCTCTTCCATTTAATCTCATAATGTGAATTCTCTGGCACAAAGCTATGACATATTGATTTGGAGCCTCTTTGCATTGTGGTGAAACAGGAAGAGTCTATTTAGATTTGCAGGGCAGTGCCATGGAGGAGAAAAAAAAAGTCTGGAAAAAAAAACGCAGAATGGATTACCGGTAAATGATACATCGGACAGATTTGCTTGATGTGGCTAGGTATTTATTGAGCACTAAAGCTGCTGCTGCTCATTGATAAAGTCGAAGTAGTTTTCAGTTGCCATGAGGCTAAAATGGGCACAGAGCGGCTCCCACCCCTGCAACACTGTCTGAATGTTAATAGATTTGTACCCACTTGGTTTTCACTGCTTATGTCTGCCAATTCCCACGTTTTAACAACGAAGCAGCAAGGCAGCACATTTGTAGGGATGTCTTAGTTTTCAGAAATACACTTTTGAATTAGACTAAATTAATTTCTAGTTTCAATATGTTTAATTGTACTTTAATTCATTTTAAGCAACGTATTACAAAGCTGTGAAAATGCTTATTAATGTGCTTTAAAAAAAAAAGATAAAACCCGCAAATTATCCTGGACAAACCTGAAGGAAAAATTTAGCTGTTTTCAAAAAATATTTAGATAACTAAGGAAGTGAAGGTATTTCATTTTTCTTTTCAAAAACACCCCCATCTGGTGGACGACTTTCAGAAAAGACCTGTTTCCATTTACTTAAACACAGGTTGTCTATGCATGTTTTATTTCCTAGACTCAAATCTGTGTATTAAAAAGTCTTTTGGTGATTGATACAATTGATTATAAAAATTAGCTGGTCCGTGACAAGTTATTTATACTAACAGAGCTGTAGGTTTATCATGGCAATGATTACATCTACCCAAGAATAAGAGGAAGAAAGACCTGACACTAAGACGTAATGTGACTAGACAATTTCAACACATAAATATGCTTTGATCAACATGCCTGTGTCATTTTTTCACTCCGTTTTTTTTTTTTCTGAAGAGGTTTCAGCAGAAAAGATTTCTTAAGAAAAAAAAGCGAGCGATAATCAATATCAACCTCAATCTCTGACTGGTTTCCCTATCTCTGCCTACGAGAAGAAGAGCATCTTACAGCATGATGCCGCCACTGCCTTGTCTCGTCATGGGTAGAGTGTGTTCAGGTTGACGTGCAGTGATGGCTTTCTATCACACATATTCCTTTGCATGTTAACCACAATATTGTGATCTATGTGCCAAAAAATTCTTGAAGGGAAACCTTAAAATATTAGTTTTCAGGGCTTGTGTAACTATGCATTAAGGCCAAGTATATGTGGTTTTCTTTATTCATCTGTCAGATGATGGACTGAGCAGTGCTCCATGTTCAAAGTATTAGGCTTATCATTTTAGAGCCTAACACTGTCTCTCTTTGGTCTTTCTGATGGTGCTGCATTGATAGAGCTATCTACGTTTGGCACCATTAGATTGTCTGCATGTTTTGAGCGATGGCAATAGCCAGATATTCTCCTAAAAAAAAAAATCTAAAATGAACATATCACTTATCAGCTGAAGAATAAAGCTGGAAAAGACTTTAGAGTAACACCGAGTAGAAAGTAAGGGATGTGTAGAATATGTGCACAAACTGATGGGTGATTATGCATGGTAATTTGGCATTATAATTACAATAGGTAAATAAAGTCAGTTATCATATCATGCTGCTGTGAAATGTCTAGAATGTTTCTTAAAGAAGTGAAGCCATTTTTGTGTCACTGAATAAAGGAACGCTTTTTATAGCTGCAGAAGTTGTATTATAATGAATAGCAAAACAGTGTTCACACTTTGTTGTGCTTATCATAAATAATGCTGGTGAAGAAGAAATGAAAATGATCATTAAAACACTGGATGAATTACAAAAGTTTCTATCAGCGTATCTTCAAAAATCTTTGATCTGATTAAACTTAAGATTTCTACTGAAATCTACAATTCACAAGCTTTATATAAACTAAGGGGGGGAGAAATGTAAATTGCATATGTATTAGTTGTTGTTTTATTTCTCGTCTTCTCTTAGTAAAAAGAGCATTTCTTGCAACAAAAAAACAAGTTAGGTAAAAAAGTAAAAATCAGGCTGGTTGTATCACGTCACTGTTTTTGCCGGAATTGCTCCTCCTTGATGACCATGTGCTGACAGTAGAAATTCATTTGAAATGTGTTATTGACTCTGCAGCAATTCTTCATTTTCTGCATGCATACAGTGAAAGGGGAGAGGAGAAACTTCCTTTTAACAGGAAGAAACCTCCAGCAAAAGTGTAGCATTCTGCAAAGAGTTTAAGACGACAGAAGGAACATAAAAGCACTGATCCATAAAATGGTTCAATGTTACAAAAAATGTAAAGGCGAACCAGCTCCATATGTGGCTCTATCTAGGAAAGAAACTGTTGAACAGATGAGCTATTAGTCTGTTTTCATGTCTAAATGGCTGAAAGAGTGCAGATCTATCCAATCTATCTCTAGTTTACAGCAGAGGTAGGTTATATTTCCAATAATTCCCAGGATTAGTTTAAAGGTTGTTTTATTTGTGGTCTCTTGTAGACTATTGCAAAGAATCTAATTCCTTTTTGTAATTATCCTTGTTGCAACACAATTATACAAGCTGGTTTAGTAAGGCTATCTGCTCTGGCAGTCAGTTATCGGTCGACTATTTCAAAGTCATGTCGCTTGTATTATTTCATCAAGCTGTTTAGGAGTCTCAAACAGAGGACTAGCACAAGGGACAGGGTGGGACAGGGTGCATGCTTTATAAAACCAGAGAAAACACTCCCTGGATTTTTAGTAAAAGGGCTTGAAACTTTTTGTACATTTCAAAACAAAGCTTTTTAAAACCATGGTATATTTTTTATATGTGCAATCAGCTCGCACATATAAAAAAACATTAATGTTCAGAAATGTAACTAACTGAGTAACTAGCTCTATACCGTCATACTATAACACAATTTCATGTAGTGAAAAAATTAAAAAATTCTTTCTTTTCATTAGCAGTGTTTAGAATGTAAAAACTGAAAACTCCTTTGATTCAGCTTCATCTAACTTTAATGGAAAACGGGGATGTTAAAAAACTTAATACATTTTTTTATTTTTATTTAACCTTTATTTAACCAGGAAGTCCCTTGAGATTGAAATCTCTTTTTCGAGGGAGACCTGGCCAAGACGGCACACCAGTTAAAATACAAACAGAAATACAACATAGACAAAATCTCACATAGAGGAAAAGACAGGTCACATGGAACAAAAACTCTTTTTTTAAGTAAAAAAGAGGTTTTTACATATAAATGGTCACTTAACCAAAATAATTAAATTATGTTTTAATATAGTTAGTCTGTCAAACTAAAAATCTGAAACCTTTAAGGAGAAAATATTTTTCACTATGCCCATATTTCATGGATTTTTTTTCTATTGGTATGATGTAGTATTCTAAGTTTAAATGTTTCATATTTATTGAAATATAAATATGAAGAGATACTGATATAAATGTGTTTTTCATTGATAGTGTGACACATTTAATATGACTATACATTCAAATCAATAAAACATCACAAAAATATTTGACCAATATCATCTTCAAACTAAACTCACGCTTTATGATTAAACAGCTTTGCTGTCTCCAATCCTCCTCGATAATCAATTTTTATATGCAATATAGGCCAAATCGAAATTTGTGTTTTAGGTCACATGTCAGCAGATGTATTTTTATGCATTTGCAATCAGCCTAGTATAAATTTAAACATGTTAAGTGATGCAAATATTCACTGACTGGCTGAACGCTCCCACACCAAACTTAAGAGTTGTGATTTCTTCTTTTTTTAAATGCTGTCCTATTTTATAACATGTTTTGCCAGCTAAATAATTCCATTCAAAGTCCATATGACCTCAAGCTTTACTCCATTGAAGTCAATATTGTGTGTGTGAGGCTACAGCGATTAGATGTTAGGGTAGGATTGGGTCACAGACCTATTTACCAGCTTACACACTGAACATGTTATAGCTTGGAAAGAACTGCTGTATTACTTTACTGTGATGATTTACTTAAAAAAAAAAAGAGAGAGACATCATTTAGTAATGACACAACATTTACAAATTTATAATTTTCATTCTATCTATAACAGCTTATTATAACTTTATGCTTGTGTTTTAATGAATCATCAATGAAGGCGGATTGGTGACTAAAACTATAGACATTAATGGAAAGTCCATTTGCAGTGTCCTCTATGCAATTCTCGGGTTCTCCTCTCTCTGATTGCACTGTTGGAGCTAAGGCTCTGCTTCAGGGCAGGAAGGACAACACCAGACTGAGGCACCCCAGACCTGGGAAGAGATAAGTAGATTTAACATAGAGGAAACATATTGTTATACTACAGTTAGTTGCTTTTTCATGCTTAAAAGAGCATAGAACAAGTTCTAGATTTTTTTGCAGACATTTCCTCCCTCGGAGGACCCTGTTCCCGCTAATTTTTCATGTGTCTGGGCATACACACAACCTCATAACGTCAGATGTGCAGGCCGAGGCCACACACCAATATTAAACTTGTTATAAATATTGTTATTGTCTTCTTCCTCCCCTGAGCCAGGAGAAGCAAGTGCTTCAGGAGCTGGAGGCAGTAGTAGCAGCAGCTCAATAACAACTGAGGGGGTGAAGCCCAGGCAACAGGTCCCTAATGCTCCAGCAACAGATCCTCTTCCACCAGGGAAAAAATCCCATTTGGATGTCAAGATCCTATCCAGATCCGTCTGACATCACTTCTGCTAAGCAAACATGAATGATGCGCATTCCATAACTAGATATAGTGACTTAATATCACAATGTTTGGGTTTGTTTTTTTTGTTAATCACTGCTGCTTACCTTATCAACGCTGCACTTTAAAAATGAAATTGTCTAGAGAGCTGTTCTAAACAAAATGTCTGTTTGTTTACACCTGCGTATAATAATAAATCTGTCTAAATCTAAGTCTAAAGATACAAACCTGTTAAATTCAAGTTAAATTCTCTATTTAAAGAATAAGAGATCACAGTAGCAATTTCCATTTGATTACTTCTAATTTAATTGATTTGGTTAAAATTATATATATATATATATATATATATATATATATATATATATATATATATATATATATATATATATATATATATATATATATATATATATACATATATATATATATACATATATATATATATATATATATATATATATATATATATATATATATATATATATATATATATATATATATATATATATATATATATAAAACCTTGTGGATTTCCAAATTCTTTTGCAAAGTTCCTCCAATTAAATTAACTTTTGGTTTATTATATCTTATTTATCTGTAATCAATTTTGTTGTTTTTTTTAGAAAAACAAAATCTATTTGTAAACTTACCATAGCAAGACCACATGACTAGAGATGACAAGATAAAAACATCTAGGCACGCTAAATCTAAACATCAGGACATAATTCTGGGACATATTTCAAAGCTAAATCCAAACCCCAGAAACCAACCAATTTAAAATAATACTACTACCAATTCTCACAAAGGGAGTGATGAAATATAAGCCACAACGAATCAAAAGTTGCACTTCCGGCCGCAAAACGAATGTGGTTGAGATGCCTTTTACAAAGAAACATTTATCCAAATATTAATTATGTTAGTAACATTTTTGAGTTTGTTTGAATAGAGAAAATTGATATAAAAATCTTAACTGCTTTTCATCCTAAAAATATCTATTGATTCAATGACATACATTAAAGGTACACTATGCAACCGGTGTTGATTTTCCAGCGAGGCTCCCCCCAGAGGGCGAAAGTAAAAGTGCACTGTCGTAAATATGCTCAGCTGTTCTCCTGGTTTTTCCGTCAAGCCAGGCGCGGTTGTTTTGAGCTTAGCAGACAGGCGAACGCAGCTGGCGCGACAGAAGCAGCGAGTTTACATGCAAAGTCAATGGTTGACGCGCGTCAAGGCGCAGCAAAAGGTCCCGCGGCGCGTTTTGAGCAGCAGGCGCAGCACGTCTGAGCAGCTGAAGCAGCGCGTCGGGCGCGTTTAAGCATCTGACGCGTGTGACGCGCCGCAAACGCGCTCCTGCTCGAGATGGAAAATTTTTGTTTTTGCTGCTCGATGCGCCGCCTCAACCAATCAGAGAAGCTGATCTGGGAGCTGGCAGGGAGAGAGACACAGCGCTGATGATCAGAGCGCTATGATAACTCCTCTTAAACAGTTTATTGACGCCTAAATTAACTTAAAATGCAGAAATCTGCCGGCAGAATATGTTCGCTTTTATTATCCTGCTGCCTGCAGTTTGGATTATTTAGATGAAAAACACCTACCAGCTGCCGCCGTGAACCGCGAGGAGGCGACCCAGCCAGAGGCTGCTGATGAAGGGATTCCAACTGTCGGCGCACCGCTGCTATGTGGGGGTCTGAGCGGCTCCGACAGAAAAAATATTGGAAGGCAGGATTGTAATCTGGATGAACTGACTGCACTGATAACGTTTTCAGGTGTATTTTCTCACTTAAAAACATATTAAAACTACTTTATTCCCACTGATCACAGCAAATATAGCTGCAAGGCAGAGAAAGGATAGTGAAGCTCCGCCCAACGCGCGTCAGACACACTTTTGCACCGCGCAGCCAGAGCAGCAAAGCTGCTTCAGCCGCGCGTCAGAACTGGTACAAGCAGCAAAAATGAAGCAGCAGACGCGATTTTGCTGATTTTGCTGCTTTTGCTGTGTCCGGTGTGAAAGCAGCGCTGCACAAAGATCGCCACTGTGCTAGCAACGAGAATGCTTTTAACTGGGGGCGTGTAGCAGTTCTCGCCGTAAAGCAAGACCGACTCTCGCGAGACTTTTGAGCCTGTCGGTGCTCCTGCAATTGCAAGTGCGGTTTTTCCCCCACAGACCACCAGGGCGGCCGAGAATACCTTTGTTCAACCTGAAATGACGCATTTAATCATCCAAAACGTTATGGAACACATTAATTAACTGAAAAATGTTGCATAGTGTGCCTTTAAAAACATCCAAGCCCACCATGAGGGTGAATGCATTTTAAACTAAATTGCTGTGTTTACATCAGAGAAGAAAATGAAATAAACTACTGCATTTTCTTTCCAGGTCTTATAAAATTTTCAGAACCTCTAGAACCAGGACCTACATACACTTTCTTTGGAAACGACTGAATGTCCAGTTTAGGAAATGTCCTTTCTTCTACAGCCTTCCTGCAACATACAGGAAAAGCCACATCAACAGCAGGTTGAACGTATTTGCAAACCTGATTGTATGATCTATAAACATGTTAGCATCACCTTACCGTGGTCTATCAATAAGGTAGGCTTTGCTTGACATATGGTTTTCTGGGGGGATTTTCTTGCTCAGGACAAAATCTCTAAGCAATGCCTTCACACACGCAATCTGCATAATTAACACAGTGAACAGAGCAAAACAGTAAAATTTTTTAGGTATTTACAAATTTGGCAGCCATGGTTTTGAACAATTACCTCCTGACACTGTAAATTGTTGGCTTTGAACATCTGCTGGATGATGATCTCACACTCCTGCAGGGTGGGGGGGTGTGGTGGACGGGATGGATTGCTGCGGACTCTTAGAGGCTGTAAGGAGGTTATCCGCCTAGTGATGCCTGTGCCATTGATTTGCCGTACTGACAGTGGAACATCGCCGAGTTCTCTAAGGTATAAGAACAGTGAGATATTTTTAGTAAAAGGCAGCAAGAAAAATATTTAAAGACTTGGTTATGGAACTAAACAGTTTGTAATACATTGCACTTTGAATTTTAAAAAAACAAAAGAAAAAAAATTGATTCATTTCACATGGTGTGAAAAAAATCTCTGATTTTATTTTTTTAATCTATATCTAACAACCCTGCTAGCAACAAGGAATGACTATACATTTTTGCATTACACTGCTGTCAAAAACAGTTAAGGAGATGTGTATGATGTTTAAACTTTGAATACAGATTTAACAGAATATATTTGCATCATTCTCCAGCCTCTGCTATAAATAGGCAAATAATCTCTGCCAAAGAACAGTGTGCACATTCAGTTGAAAATCTTTTATGGCTTATCATACTCATGACTTACGTATTCTTAGTTGGCTGGAATCAAACATTGAACAGCCCTGCCTCTCTGCATATTCAAATTTAAACCTGCTACATCTCGGGTTTATTGTTGTGTCAGAAGCTGGTCAAAGAAAGCAGTTAGAATCGAAGCTTAAGCGAAAATTAAATCTGCAAGACTCTTAATCAGCCTAATTTGGATCACCCGTTGATGTCCAAAGCCAATCCCTTCTCAAGATGCTTTTCATTTGATCGAAGGCCCAGTGTCTCCATTCAGCGCTTCAGCTGAACTTTGACCCACCTCCACCCCATCTCCTTCTTCTCTCATAGTCCACTCTTAAGGCCTGGTTTAATTCCTGCAGCAGTGTGTTGCAATGAGCTTGACGCAGACATTTTTGATTTATGCCCAGTATTGAAGCTTGGTCTGCGCTATACGCTGTGGGTCTAGATACGGCCAAGGCGGTAAGGAAGTGGGGACAAGTTTGTCCGACGACGGAGGAACATGACGGCCAAAAAAAGCAGAGATCCAGGTGGAAAAAGGGTCCCAGTGTTCTCATGCACATCGCCCTTCTATCTGGTCCAACTTCACAAGTCGTTATCCTCAATTTCGGTCATAAAAACTAAACAAGCCGGCCTCCTGTCTGCGGCACTGTCTGCGGTCACCTACAATTTGTGAAAGGTGCAGCAGAGTATCACTGCGACACCAACGCAGATGACCTAGTTTTGAAGTATAAATCAGCCTTTAGATCCTCTCATCCTCCAGCTTATTCTACCACCAACGCCCGGACTCAAGGGGGAAGACAACGCTAATCCTTTTTTAGGTTACTCATCCACCCCTATGTTGATTCATAGCATCAAAGTCTTCTGCAGGGGCCCAAGCGCCAAAGATGCTATCTCCGTATGTCATTATCTGCTTCTGTCTCCTTGAACCCTAGTCGGCCTTGGCAGAAGGCCGCTCACACTGAGCCTGGTTCTGCTGGAGGTTATTTGCAAGTAAATTGAATTGAAAATAATGTTTCTAATTGCACCTGTGTGAGTTTCTCCAGGTTGAACTACAGCCACACTTTATTTTCACTATATTAGATCAAGTACAGATGTATTATACCAGGCCATGTATTATGGCATGGTGATGCCTTGGGCTCCCCCAGAGCAGCTGGAGGAGGTGTGTGTGGATCAGGAAGTCTGGGCATCTCTGCTTAGACTGCTGACTCCACGACCTGGCCCAGGTTAAAGTGGAAGAAAATGGATGTGTTATAATTGAAAAGTAACTCACCTTAAAGCGCGGTCTTGCAGTAGTGCTGATGTCTTCTCCAATGGTTCCTCTTCTGTGTGGGCCACTCTGCCTTGGGTTTTAGGTGTTGCATCTTGAAAGCTGTGCATTCTTCCTAAAAAAAACAAAAACAAAACTAAGCTTACCTAACAATCACTCTAAAGGCTTGTTTACAGAGATGTAGCTTAAGATATTAGCAGTAACTATGAAGAGATATTATATTATATATACTGAGATGTTATATGACAGGCAAACACAAAATAGTGTGTATCTGATACATCTACATAAAATCCAGTTTAACTACCTGATTTAGATTTTGTACAATATAACCTACAATTCGAGTTGTAAAATATTTATGGCACAACTGAAAACCTATCAAGACATGGCTGCTCACCTAAACTGAAGGTTGAAAAAGAAGAAGAATATTAATCTAAGCAGCCCTGAGGCTCAGGGAGGGACCGGAAAGTTCCACAGCTAGATAAAGTAATCTGTCGACAGGACAATAAGGTCTGCACTCCTTGTTTTTGTCTTTCTTTGTGTAGAATATTGCCAAAAACAGAAAGTCTTATATAAAGCATAGGAAAGACACTGGTTGAATGAGAACTAAATAGAGATTTCAGCTCCACACAGAAAAAACTTTAAAGATGTTAGGTTTATTGCCAGGCTGAAATAGGACGGCGACAGCATCATGCGAAATAGTGATCAAGTGAGGATCATTTTCCTAAGCATGCACTGATAATGTGGATACAGCGTAACACAACGCAGAGAGCTGCAGAAGTCTCTAGACTAAAGGCTGAAGCTAAAGCAAGCATGACCATGATCGTATCAACACAGCCGCAGCTATGGTTTAAATCCAACCATAAAGTTAGACTACTCAAAGTTAATCTGATAATCTACTTAAAAATAGAGATAATCTTCATCATTAAAATAACTTTCTGTTTCTAGTCTGTTAGAAATACACTTAAAAGACCTGAAAGTTTTAGCTAAAAGTAGTCCGACAAAGTACTGACTCACACAAAGGCACGCCACACTTTTCAGATCATTACTGGTTTACCCAAATAAGTGTTTTATGAAAAATAGAACTTTATCTGTAATGGGAATATAAAGGAGGGAAAAAAGTTTAAGAGACAAGAATAAAATAAGACAAATTTCCTTCATGTCAACCACTGAAGCTGCAATGGAAACAATAATCAAGACCACTTCTCACCTTTTCTGCTAGTCTGGTGCGACTCCATAATCATTTTATACTTCAGTTCTGCAGCATGCATAACAGGAAACAGTTAGTGTCATTATGCTGCATTGACTGCAGATCACCACTAATGGGTGCAGTCATTACACCCAGAGCTAAAACCTTTAGCTTAGGCCTGCTCTGACACCACATCCTTCACAGACCTCCAGCTGAGGAAAACCCTGGGGTTGCTATGCTACCACAGGCTGGATGTCTCACTTGTTAGCACTGCATCATGGGGACAGTTAGGTCTCTGACCTGAATTCATTACAGCGGGAATCATTGCTAACCCTTGTAGGTGGAAAATAATGATGTGCAGCCTTTGGATGAAATGTTTGGCATGAGGTCAATGAAGCTGATTTATTAATGAAAGTAAAAACCCTGCTGATTCCCATAGAAACCATTACATTCTTCCTATCTATGCTTATAGGCTAAAACTACGGAAGAGGATTAGGGCCACTGTAAAATGAAAAAAAAAGTTAAGATTTTTAGATTTCATTTCAGTATAATATGAGAAAAGTCCAAATTCTCAGAGAATTTAGACTTTTTTCTCAGAATTTTGAATTTTTCTCAGAATTCTGACTTTTGTCTCAGAATTCGGACTTTAAATCTCAGAGTTTTTAATTTTTTTTCTCAGAATTTTGAGTTTAATCTCAGAATTCTGACTTTTGTCTCAGAATTCTGTCTCTAATCTCTGAATTCTGATTTTTTACTCAGAATTCTGACTTTTTTCCCATATGAAACTGAAATAGAATGTAAAAATTAACTTTAATTAGCTAAAAAATTTATTAACTTTACAGTTAACTTTTTTCTTTCAGTGACCCCAAGGGGCAAAAAGGGGCAAAATTGCAAATAAAACTTTGCTTTTAAAATGTGCATATTAATTTGTAACATTATGGACATTCAGGATTATTTGTATAACATATAAAACACTACATTTTTTGTTAAATGACTGGTTCCTTCAATAACAAGACAAATTAGGAAAATAATAATAAAAACACCGTTATTCTCCTTTCTGAGGTATTCTATTTCTGCGTGGAGCTTCTCCAGAGTTTCCTTGTGTTGTTCCTGCAGGAATTGGATGTTCCTCTGCAGGGATGCCACCCGGGGGTCCACCTGGCCCAGGCGGGGCCCCTGTGGCTTCCCCACCTCCTCCTCCTCTCCACTGACCGTCAGTGGGACAGCAGGCGGTGGAAGCAGGGCTTGGTTTGCGGGGAAACGCCGCGGAGATCCCGATTTCCTGTGGATTCCCACTCCGGTCCAGTTTGGAGAAAGCCACAGCGGTGGGAGGTTAATACCTGACATTATTTTAATTGAATTAAATTTATTTTCTTCGCCGCTCAAATTAAGCTTAACACACTGCTGTCGTGAAATAACCGGTTAGTTTGCAAAGACACTACAAAGCTAAGCAGGCCTCTCTGCTTAATTTGGCTCTCATTACGGTAAAAAGACAACTATAACGTAACCATGACGACGCGAAGCACGCTGCGTTAAAGGCCCCACGTTCTCACAGTATGAGGCTGCACTCTGCCCCCCTGTGGTGGCTAAAGGAAAAAGAACATGATCAGAGGTCTTCAGGATCTATGTTCAGGACCCCCAAACTGATGGAGAAAAGTATGGAGGATCAATCCTGCCACAATTAAAAATAAATACAGAAATAAATAAATGCTCCAAAATTAAATAAGCATGCAATAATTGCCCTTCAAAAACACAATTAATAATACAGTGATATATATATATATATATATATATATATATATATATATATATATATATATATATATATATTTTTTTTTAATTAGCTTGTTTCTTTTTTCGCCTTCTATTAGACTGATGCAGTAAAATGCTAGCCCTTAAGACACATCCTTCCTCATTTGCATAATTAGGTAGAAAGCATACAGAAATGTAAAAACGACAGTCAGAAATAAGTAGCATGGAAGAAATAAATATGGTAAAAGAATACAAAGAAAGAATAATACAGACAAAAATATTATCACATGCACGTAAATAAATACTTAAAAAAATAAGTAAAAAATATTTTTTTATTTAAAAAATTAAATAAGGTAATTATTAAAAAGATGAAAAAATAAAGAAGCTAATTAAAAGAGATAAATACATTTATGTCTCACTGTATGATTTAATTTCTACCAACATTTATTTTATTTATTGTATTTTTGAGGGGCAATTATTGCATTTTTATTTATTTTTGGAGCATTTATTTATTTCTTAATTTATGTTTAATTATGGCAGGATTGGTCCTCCATAGAGGAATGGGGACCCCCTAATTATATATATTGTATGAAATTGTGTTATATCAAACTGATCCTATAGTCACTCTATTACAGATGGAGTAATGTAACGAAAGTTATTTCTCCCTGGGATTATTAAAGTATTTCCGATTCTGATTCCTCAACGATGGGACAGGTGTTGTGAATGAAACGGTGCCCAGCTTGAAAGAGATCCTGTGTGTCACTGAATGTGTGCATTGATAACTGAAAGACATCTTCTGCCTCCATTTATCTGTTCACTACAGTGTGTTGAATTCACGTTAATGTGGATTTAAAGGCTTTTCAATTCGTGGAAAAAATTGCAGAGGGGAATAAAAGAAAAAAAAAAGTCTAATCAACCAAAACTTTGGCGACCCCTATGCAGTAGCTCCGTAGACCCATAGGGGTCACGGACCCCTGTTAAAGACCTCCGATAAAGATGAATCAATTCAAAAAAGAAACTTAAATCTTTTATTACCGTTTCTCTTTTCATAAAAGTGTACATAAGTAAATCTATAGCTAAGGAACATTATTTAATTATTTAATTCCAATCAACACAGTAAACTCAGCTGGTTCATAAAAAAAGTGATGTCTTCTAAGTTTTCATCATTCAATTAGTTAATCAAATGTTCAGTTTTTGGGAACTCAAATACCATATATGTTCACAAAATGTTTTTAAATAAAGAAGAAAAGCAAAATGCTGTCACATAAAAAATATGTCCATGTAGTGTTTAGGAAATGTATTGTATTCAATAACAGGCTGTGGCTCATACCATTCCCAGAATGGGTCTGTGGCCAGCTTTAAAGGAAGCCACAGTTACTTTAATAGCCACCTGCACCCCGTTGAAGTGGTTTAGGTCGGGCAAAATTGTTAGCCAATCACAAACAATGCTACAATGGCTATTAAACTAACGCTTTTGTTAACTGGCATTCAGTAATGCATCTTTTTCTGGTATATTTTTCATTCAAATGAGCTTCCCATTAATATTCCTGTATTTAGATCTCTAACTAATAAACATAGTGTCTGTCAGCGGCTGTTCTCCTGTATCCTAAACTCAGCCTCACTTTGTATACAGATGCAATTACAGTCACATGCTGCCAGTTTGGAGCAGCTTAACATTGAGGATGACCACACTAATCGACTGGAATCACCTCAGAAGTTTGGGTGCCTTAGAGAAAAGCTAAAACATCACTCTATGCAGAGATGTTGCAATAAAAATAAAGACTTCCTAGACAAAAAATACAGAAAGGTTGCTAGACTTCAAATTCCCAGATTTTGGACAGAGAAGCTACGTTGAATCTTTTAGAAAAGTAGTTCAGGTTTTTATGAGGTGTGAAGCACTTTAGTAAGCCATTTTGTTCTTTTAAACTGCCATATAAAAATAAACAAAGTCTAGTAATTAGGAGCACATGATTGAATCAAACAAATTACTTTCCTTAAAGGTATAGTGAAGGAATTCATTTTTCCGGTGGATCATCAAAATAAGTGGTCCTCCTAATTGTCAATCATTCTAGTGATATGTTTACGTAAGGCCGTCTTATGTGTTCGCCCCCATTTCCATTGACATAATGGAAAAATAAAACATTTTCCTTTGAAAAGTAAGTGATGTATAAGCGATGCAAACAGCAACCTTTAAAGAATGTGCACGAGCATAAATTGGCTTGTGCACGCTCTCGCATAGGGATTCCCTCACGGGAGCGGGGACGGGGTTGTGCATGTGCATTTTTTTTTTTTTTTTAAGTGGAGAAGGCGGGTCTTTTCAAAAATCATGAAACTCCTCCAAAATATATGTAGCGCATCTTCCAAGATTATGTTCATGGAAGGTTTACCAGATGGAATTTAAATTCACAGAGGAGTGAGAGAAGCACAACAAACAGTAAAAAGGAAATAAAAAATGCAACAAACTAATTCTAATGAAATATCCAGTCTTTTTCTCTCAGCTAAAAAAAAAACAAACAAAAAAACACTCACAGCATTCTGAAGAAACTTCCTTTCCATTCACTTTATTCATGACGGAACTCCCCAAACAGTAGAGATTACACCATCAGCAGGGGTATAGAGATAGTGCGTCTATTATTGATATGAAAACATTAAAACTGCTTTTGCAAGAGAGAGAATGTGGAAGATCAAGCAGAAAGCTCAATAGTCTTTGGGAATGTTCAGGTAGCCCAAACCATCATCTCCCGGCTGATGGGTTGAATAAACGCTAACAATAACTTAGAAAATAAACAGGTGATACATAATTACTCAGAGGGAAAATGGAAACTATGTGTTATTTTAGAAAACATACAAAAACTGAAATAAAATTGACAACTTTTAAAATCAAAGGGCATTTTTTTCCACTAACCTGGCAATGATTGTATGGAACGATATAAACAAAAGAGAAAAAAGTGACACATGCATCAGTTTTTTAGCCGCCTGATTCTTTGAAGAACAGCGCAGCAAATGTAGTGACACAAAGCTTGTGGAGGAATTTAATAATACTAGGAATGTACTCTTGGGAGACTCAAAGAAAAAACAAACATTTCTGGATCAATAAATTATCCTCAGCCTGTCCTGCCGATTGCGCTGCTGTGAGGGTGAACAGCATCTTTAGCTGAGCTCGACACACCATCATTTTAGAAACTATGCACTCAAAAACCACCTTGGGTTTCAGAGGAAATGACATCTAGAGTAAAATAGGATATCGGTGGGTTGAGATGTGAATTACTTCAGAGTGACAGGTTCTGCTTCTCATAAGCATAGATCTATGTCTCTTTCTGCGCTAAATTTGTCCACCCGCCAATCAGCATGTTAAATAACAGGCCTACTAAATCTCACTTTCATGCACTCAACCCATCAAACACAACCAATCAAGCAGAGTCGAGAACTCTTCCTATTTAAGCTTGGTTAAGGTAAACAACTCCAAACAAATCAAGCAGATTCTACTCTAAAGTGGTGCAGAGCCTTTAACAACAACCCAAAATAAAACAAAAAGGTCAATTTGCTTCAGTGTTAATTTTCTTCTTTCCCCTTATAGAAGCCCAGCTATACACTATTTCCTTCTCGTCACTCTTCACATCATAACATACACGATTTTATAACTTTAAAAGCAACTAGGTATGCGCTAAAATGAGTAAGCAGATGTCTCTAAATGAGCACGGCTACACAAACTGCACACTTTTAACATATTCCTCTATCTATACAGTACATAAACAGTGCAAAAAAAAAACAAAAAAAAAACATTATGCCCTTAAGATTATCTTAAATGTTAACCCCCTCCAACCTTTAGCCTGATTTTAATTTTCCCCTTTCCTGACAGCCCCTACATTCATATTTGACTATGCTTGCCGAACACCCACAAGATGGAGAGATGAAACACACAAAGGAAAACCCCAACCCTGACAAAGTCTGGAAACAATTCACAGAAATGAGCAGCACTGAGTGTGAAAGCTTATGAGAGTAATCTCAATAAATGTGAACGGTATTAAAAAAAAGTCAATTAATTCCAGTAAATCAATACTGTTAAAAAAAAGTTGAACTCATATTTCACCTATTTGACCATTATGGCTCACAGCTACTACAAATCCACCAAATTAATTTACTTGGAAATTAAAAAAATCGATTAAAAACAACAGAGACGCTGTGGTGTGGCCTCAGCACCTGCAGAAAATACCAATACCTGCTTTAATGACCACAGCATCTCTAAGGTTGATTGGTGACCTAAACCTCCCAGAGAACCTATCGAGTCAAGAGATTCAAAGAGAGTCAAAGTTGTTCAGCAGAGAGTCACTGACGACCCCATAAGGTGAGGGAGACGCCAAAAAGCTGTTGGTTCAGTCCTACATCAAAGCACATCTATAGAAAGTTAGGTAGAAGGAAAAACTTTGGTAAAAAGAATTAAAAAGCTATCAGAAAAAACTGTAAATGTGAACGGAATGTGAATAGCTGCAAGCCATAATGAATTACATGAGTTTTACTTTTTTAATTGCATTATGGAAACCGACTATTAATGTTATTCTGATTTACTTCAATCTTATGTCTTCATTCCAGATTATTGCAGCATTCTCCTGAACAAGATTGTGATGAAAGATGCAAATGGATCAGTTTCAGCTCTTTCTATAGTTAAACACGGTGTTTCAAGTGTTAACTGTTTCCTCTCTGCTTTAGAGAAAACTGCAGGATTACAATACTTCCCTCACAACCTCATAGTGTGAAACAGGCTGTGGCCCTTTCATTTTGAGCTTATACAGAAATAGTACATTTTCAGACAGATTTTTTTTTCTTTTCTTCTCTAAATCAAACCAGCAGAAGTAGATTATGAATCTACTTCAATAAATCCTGTAAAAATAATTTGGCAGCAGTTTTTTTTTTTTTTTTTTTAAACAGTACTAATATGCACTACTGCTAATCAAATGTAGCTATGCTTTAAGCTGTAGACTTTCTGTCAATAAGCATGAAAGGACCTGATAAAATGAAGAAAAATGGGAGCAAAGTAGAGATATAAGACAAAAAAAAGCACATTATGAGAATATTTAGCTACATGGAGTCCTTATCAGAATGCATCACCAGCTGTGCAGGTTTATCTGCATTGCTTCTGCTGCTGCATCTTGCTTGAATCCTAAAAAGCTTTTCTTATTTTAAACTAGCGCAACATGAAGGAATGTGACTACTTGGCAAACACTGCTCTCTGCTGTTGGATCGACAGTAAATGGGTGCAAATCTTCTTCTTGGCATTTCCATGTTCAGCAGCAAAGTCCTCCCTATGTCCACTGCTGGTCCAACCCCCATAGATGAGATGGTTCCAACCTTGAAAACCGAAAGATCTTCCAGTGAGCAGCATTTCAGTGTCTGTGTAAACCTTGTGGTTTTCTTGCGAAACCAAAAGCGCTTCTATGTGACACCGTGAAATGTGGGTGGAGATTTGGTAAGTTGTGTGTTAGAGTGCAAATGGAGAGTCAGGCGTCAAACACAGAGACCGGATTGCAGAGCTGTGAGGCGGCGTTCAATGCATTCTTTGCCTGCACAAACAGAGAGGGAAATTATATTTAAATATCTGTACTGGATCAAGATCTAGAGTTATATTCATGAATCTCTGAGGGGAAGTGACAAAATTATTAAAAAGTGCAAAAAAACTACAAGTAGTTGAACAGTTGGAAGAGATTCTCACATTTGCTAACGCTCAGGATGTCATCCTGTTCAGTGAGGAACAGAGACAAACCCTCCATTAGCAGGAGAGCTTTGTGGTAACGCAGGATGGACGCCTCCCCCTGGTGGAACATCTCGTCCAGTGCAGCAGTCTGAACCTAAAACAGGAACAGGCACATTCAAGGTTTGCATCATCATTTTAAAACCCAAATATAATAATTAATTGCAGAAGCTTCATCGTTTCTACATACAACCTCAAGCTATAATGTACTTTTTCAAGATTTTATGGTAGGACCCAAAAGAGTTCTTAGTTTTGATCTGATCTTGAGTTGTGGTGCTACCCGGTACTATACTTAAGTTATAGTGGAAGATGTTCTTTTCCAGGTGGATCAACAAAATAAGTGGTCCTCCTAATTGATATGTTTACGTATGGCTGTCCTAAATGTGTGTCCGCATTTTCACTTTCACTGATAAGTCTGACATAGTGAAAAAAATACATATCTTCTTTTAGAAAGTAAGCTTGTATGAGTGATGCAAAAAGCAACTTTAAAACAGAGCTTGCACAAGGAGAAATGGGATCTTGCACGCTCTCACATGCGTTTAATAGGCGTTCCCTCTCAGGTACGGGTACAGGGTTGTGCGTGTGCATTTGATTTTATTTTTAAAATTGAGAGGCTGTTTCAAAAGTTGGCAAAAATTCTCCACTATACCTATAAGCTTTCTTTCATTCTAGATGTGCCCCTTTTGTGAAATACTTTTGGTCAACTTTTTTTTTTTATTTGCTGAATAAACAAAATTATCATTCTTTTTTGTGAAACAGTCTGATGGAGACGGTTAGAAAACGTATGTTTTCAAGGCTCGCCCCAGAATCTATTTACCCTACGATCTAACAAGCTCTCCTGGTGCAACTGAAGAAAAGCTTCCCCACAGCATGACGCTGCCACCACTAAGTTTCATAAAAGAAATGGAGCGTTTGAGTTCTACATGTTGTCAAGGATTAATATAAACACCAGTTAGAGCTGATTTGACTTTCCTTTGAAGTCTTAATAAAAGATCTGTGTTTGATGTGGTTACACAGGGTTTATAATGGTGAGAATTTTTTTTTGTCTTCTTTTTATTCTGCCTACCATCTGCACTGTGTGGCTGAAGAGCAGCCGCTCAGCTGTGATAGAGGAGATTTGGTCCATCAGACGATGCTTCCTGGAGAAAAAGTGTTCCAGACGAGTGCTGAGCGAGCGACACGATGCCACGCTGGACTTGTACAGCTTATTCAGCCGCCTCACCACTGTGCATGAACAGATAAAAGAACACGGCTTCTGCTTAAGAGCGGAGCACAAAGACAAAATCGTTTTTACAGACTGCTGCTCTGGCTAAAAGAGGCTCCTACCTTGTTTGACAGTAGCAGAAGGGTAAAGCTTCCCCTGTTTGACGCGCTCCATGGCTGTTTGTAAGGCAGTAGACAATAGTTCTGCGGTTTTAAGGTAGAGCACCAGCTGCTCTGCATGACTGAGAAGATAAATACAAGAAAGAAAAAATAAAAACAGCTGTGAAATCAGTCAAAAATAAGTTGGGAAATGTTGCTGTTGTCTGAGGAGCATCATGAACTACATGAATGTTTGATACTAAGGTTTCGTACTGAGTTCATTCAACTTTTTACCCCATTTACCTGAACAATGCAATGCCTCTAGGTCAAACTCTGAGTTGAAAAATCTATATTTTTAAATTGAATTGGAATACTAATGCCGAAACTTTCATTAAAGGTAGAGTTACTAACATTTTCAGACTTTCTTTTACCTTTAATGATACAAAATGTCTTCTTTTTTCAGTAATTTTCAGAATACTGGCAGTAAAGAACAATTGCATCCATCCAACTATGACAGCTAAATTATAGCATGCTGCCAAATATCAAGTCCAATCACTCCTTTGAGTTGTTATATCACACAATAGTACTGAAATGGCAGATCTTATATCTGATTAGCCATTTTTCCTAGTTTGTAACTTGTTTTTCCAACTATCAGTTATTACAATTTCTTTCAAACTACTTTTCACTTTATAGATATCATATACCGGACGGTCTTTGCCATATTTTATTATAGCAGGCTATGGTTAGAAAAGGGTCATCACTATAATTTAATGGCCTTTTGAAGTGCACAAAATGAGCAAAGATGTAAAAGGATGTAATAGCAAAGTTAAATGTCCAGTAACCACTTCTGGATGCATTTCCAGCAAAATCAAGATTAAGTTTTATGAGCTAAACATCATAATTGAAAAAATAAAACAATTACAGCATTTTAAAGTGCAAAACAATAACAAACATGTCGAAGCTCCATATTGATAAGGACCTAAAACTTGGTGAAATCATCTAACGTAGGTATATAATAAAAAGAAAAGTTTTTAGAACAGTGATAATCTTTGTTTGTTACTATAACTGCATTAGATGAAGGTCATAAAATAAAGAAACGGAGGATGGGTTCCACTGTTAATGGGTTTTTAGGCGGTCTTACTTTCTCCTAAATGGAGCGAAAAAGGCAGAGATTACAAACATTGATATTTGACGTTGGAAATAGGTGTTACCTCCACTCTCGGCTCATTGAGCTTATCTGATCTGCTACCAGGCTCTGCTGCTGGAGGACAGCGGGGTGAGATTCTCTTCCTTGTCCTCCCACTGTGGCAGCACCACGTGAGCTCGCCACCTCCATCAGACAGAGCGCAAATTCTAGAGTGAAGCGCAGGCGCTGCACGGTGTCTGTGTGTTCCTGCTAAACTCCAACAGAAGTGGAAACAGAGAAGTGATTTAGAGACATAATATAGAGTAAATGGCAGCAGATTATGACATTGCGTAGAGTCTGCTTTACTGAAAAAAAGAAAGAATTCAAGATTCCTGATTTTAATTGATAAAGCAATAAGCTTCAGGTCATGTGTTAAGAATTTCTACACTCAGTACTTTCCAGAGGTCTGTGGGAAAGCGGCTCCTCACCTCCATCAGCGTCTCCTCAGGCAGCTCGGGGGCCTCAAAGGTCACAGCGCCACCCATGTTAGCTGTGATAGGATCAGTGAAGCTGTAGCGAGGGCTGGGCGGGGCCTCAAAGCCTTCGGGATAGGGGCCTGTCTGGGGGTAGCGGCTGGTCAGCGAGCCTGCAGGGCTTCCTGAACTGAAGGAGCCTGTTTGAGGAGGAGATTTTCTGTACTGTACAATCAACAGAAAAAGTGATCTGAAGCAATTCTTTGTCTAAGATTCTAAGATTCAGAGTCTAAGCTGTTAATTGAATGTTAGTAAAAAAAAAAAAAACGTAAGTTTAACCTTCAAATCATGAGAAAAGAAACAATATCTCCTCCCTGTTCATCTTCAATGTAACAAGTTGTGAGAGTTTTTTTTTTCTTGTTAGTCTGGAAACATCTAGTTTGATATTAACTTATCCAGATTTCATGTGTTACCTGAACATTTCCTCTGTCTGGAGGTCTGAGGTGGTGTGCTGCCACTTGGGGGAGAGCCAACAGTGAAAATCACCTGCGCTGGGCTGCAGGACCCCGGTGCAAAGCCACTACAAGGAGGAGCTGATCAACAGAAAAAAAGGCTTTCTTCAACTTTTACTCTTTTCATGATACAAAACAAACAAAAAAGCAAAGGTAACATTGATAAAACAGTTCCAGGAGAGACAGAGAGAGAGAGCAATACTTTGAGTGGGTAACAGGCTGAACTTCTTACAGGAATGTTTGTCTAAGTATGCATTATTAAAATGCTGGATAGCCTACATGCTTCAGGGAATACACACACAGACTGCTCTTTAAAGTTAGCTATGCAGATATTTAAAGATGCAAATTGAAACTCTTAAATCAGTTCTTTGTTTTATTTCTAGCGCCCTCATAAAATGTACATTCGTCTCATTTCATAGAAATAATAACTTACTATTTACAGCAGGACGGTTAGAAAAAATGTTTTGAATGCTCTTCTTTATCTGCTACTATAGCTATGAAATAAGGAAACACTAAATGGCTAAAATTGATGTAGTAAAGCAGGAATCATAAAAACATTGGAGAATAAATTGGCTATATATTTTTTTTTATAGCATAAAACAATACAGAGCATACTGAAACCATGCAAAAACCTTCTGTGCTTTATATTTAAGCTGTTATTTGTAAGAATTGATGCCATTTTATTGAGATTTTTTGCATCAGAGCAACAATGGGAACCATAATAACAGTAGAAACACCATCTAAATGTTTCATACATATAGAGTAAACATTTTAATCTATCCTGAGGAGGAGGCATACAGACCTGTTATGTCTATTGCTTTTTCTGAGGCCAGGTTCTCCGTACTGCCTCGGTCTCCTGCGTGTCCTCCTGCTCCAAAGGCAGCCATCAGCAGCATGTCTGACAGACGACCGGCACTCTGTGACCTGCAGATGAGAGAAAATGTAGAAATCTGTCCACTTCCTGTCTTATCTCTTCCTCTCTTGATAAACTGAATGAGGCTTTTTTATTCAGTTTCAATCTGAATGAAATCTGTAAAAATGCAGTAAATAAATTTCATTGTAAAAATTATTATAGAGATAACGCAGAGTCACTTTTAATATGAAATTAATACAATAAAAGGAATTCATAGTTTATCCAGGAATTCAAGTTCATTTAATCATAAAAAAAACAACAAAATAAAACATTCCTGTATCTAAAAGAATTGTTTGTTTTTTTTAAAAGATAAATAGTGAATGATTAAAACCTTCCAAAGCTCCTGCTGTCATCAGTCAGTCTGTGGACGCAGTAAGCAGGGCTGGTGGACGGCGCCGGGGCTTGTTGTCCAACGTCTCGGAGCTCTCCTGGGGCAGTCCTGCTGCTAGGCGAACCCACACCCAAACCCCTCTGCGTCAGGAAAGTCATAAGATTTGGAGAACTTGGTGGTTTGGGGAATTCAAACGGAGGGATGGCCTAAAGAGACGGAAAGTAACAAAACATCCCAGTTTAGTTCAAGCTGAGTGCTGGCATCTCTTTTCCCCTGATGTTTAGTCCCGGACACGGCCGTCTCACCCTGGAGGGGGATCCCAGGATGGTAGGGAGGGGGTTCCGCTGCATCAGCTCACTGAGTCTGGGGGAGGAGTGGGGGAGGCGGACAGTCATCAGCCCTGATGGGGGGACAGCCACAGGGTCCGAGTGCTGTTTTTTGATTTTATGCCTTCCGCCGCCAGTCGCACACTCCAAAAGACAGGGGGCGCTGTGGAGGCGCGTGCCAAGCCCTGCCCCCTGCGGAGGCTGCTGAGACGTCTGCCTTGATTCGGCATGCTGGGGCGCTGCAAGAAGTAAATTGACAGAACGGGGGTCGGTGTGGGAAGATTATAATTTGTCACTCTCTGAGGTCTGATGTTTAGGATTATTTGGCTGTCTATTAAACTGGTACTCAGGGTTTTGTCTTAGAAATGTAGTCAGTACCTTGCGGCGAAATCTGGAATGTTCTGGTTCCTCCCAGTGAAAGCCTGCGGGAGCTGGGGGCTACTGCCTGCCGCGGGGCTGAGGGTCCTGCTCTAGCATGGCCCACCAGACTCCCACTGCTGCAGCGACGCACCGGCGTAGAGAGCCTACCAGGTCAGAAACATCAGGTATCAGACTGAAATACCTCACCAGTTATTAATGATTTCATTCTAAGTGTGATTGTGTTGTTCTTGGAGTGTGAGCAGGTTTGGATACTGACCGTGGCGAGCCGTCCTGTTTGGGAGACTGAAGGTTCAGCTCCATACGCTGGTAGTTCTGGACCTGAGTGGGGACTGGGATAGGCAATGAGTGAACATGGTTTCCACAGCTACCATAGAAATTACTCCCCAGGAACTCTGCGGTTCTGGGAAGAGCAGAGAAAGGAGCAGAAAATGTCAGAGGGTTGACAGGATGTGGTTATGTTTTCATGAAAGCTTTTAAAAAGAGTCCAGCTTTATCTTGATGATCTGCCGTTCTGTTCCTTTGAATATTGTTGAACCTTTCAGAGATGATGACGGGTGTAAAACTGCAACTACTAGTAGCCCCAGTAGAAAATAATTAAAAGAATAAACTCAAATAACAAGGCAGGAAATATGATCTTTGAGCTAAAACCTTACCCTTACAGGAGAATGTCCTAAAAGAAATTACTTCAAATGAACTGAAAACCTCTTCTAGCTGAAATGAAAGCTCTTTGCCTTTTAGGGTATGTCTCAACCGGCATTACTCAACATTCTCTGCCAAAGAGCTCAAACTCAGTCAGATGAGACAGACAGACGTCTGTGGAAAGAAAGTTTGTTCCGTCTTGCCAACAATTTCATGTTGAATTTAGGTCTGAACTTTGACTGCCTCATTGCAGCACATAAACACACTTGGATATAAAACGATTCCACTGTAACTCTGGCTGCTTTTTTAGGGCAATTCCTCTGCAATAAGATTCATTTTTAGCCTAATCTTAATCCTCTGCAGCCTCTAGCATGTTTTCTTTCAGGGTTTTCCTGTTATAAGCTCCATAATATGCCCGTAGTGTTTGCATACTGGCCACAAAGTGTGTTTTTGTTCTAAGAACCAAACATTTTCATGCACTTGTTTGTATTATCCTACACGTGTTATTCTAGCCTTCATCTCACAAGCATTTAATAAAAGCTGCATTTGTGGTGTCATAGTTACCCTGTATAGACTTTTCCACCAGTTTTGAATTATTGCTGCTCCACCAGAGCTACTGTCGGCCTCTAGCAAGTTTCTCTGATCAATGCACTCCTTTCTCAGTCTGCCAGTTCACATTAAAGGCCATGTCTTGGTAGGTCAGCAGTTGTGCCGTGACCATTTCATTTCCAACAGAAGGATTAAACAGTACTCCATGCTAAACTTGGAATATGGAGATAATCTTCCTTGTTATTTAGCCTGTTGGTTTTTTTTACCGAATGTTCTTCAAAAGTCCTTTAAGAGCCTTAAAAAAAACAGCCTTATCTTTTCAATAGATTCAATCTGAAATAACGAGACTCTGAAGGTGATTGATGGCATTTCTATTTAAGGATATAAAGGCAGTAAAGGACGGATATAAATGATTCGGTGTGTTAAAAAAGGCAGAAAACTATTTATCATATCCTAAACTTTACAATCCCAATGAAAACATATAAAGATTCCTGATTAAACATGTTATGATTGCAATAAACTGTTACACCTCAAATGTCTTGAGTCTATGGATCTTTTTTCCAGGTACTGCACATTCAATACAATCAGTTTTTGCATTTAAAATGTCAAGATCCTTCTGTGATTAACTTAATTCCCTTTACAATTAAATTATAATATTCTGACTCTTTTACCTGACAGGACTTGGCGAGCCGCTGTAGGAGGGAGAGTGAGGCGGTGTTTTGGCTTGGTTACACAGACCAGCTGAAGCCAAAAGAGAACTAAAGAAAAGAGAAAAAGAAAATTAATGGAAAAACAACAGAACAACACAAAGAAATACAATCTACTGTCTTAATTTTATAAATCATTCTGGCATGATTCATGTAGTTGTTAGCTCTCACCCGCTGTTCATGAGACTGTCCTGCAGTACTTTACTCTCACAAGTCAGTTCTCCTGCTGGAAATCCATCAATAAGAAAAAAGAAAACCAATCAGAACAATAACAAATAGAAATTTTAATAATTACTATAACTGATGCAACTATTTAAAAATATTTACAAGCCTAAAAGTAACTATTATAGAGCTGAAGATGTGAATTAGAACTTTTTATGCCTATTGAATGTTTTGTTTGATGTTTCCTTGTTTCTATGGATTTTAGAAGGGTTTCTTCACCTGTAAAATGAGCAGGCACCATTACAAAATCATCTGTATCACAAGAGGAGGAGTTCTTGCTGCTGCCGCCTGCTCCAGACGAGTCCTTCAGGAGAAAACCTGCAGCATCCTGGGTTGGAGAGGCAGGAACTTTGGAGCGCAGATGCTGAGTCTCAGCGAGAGACTGCTGCAGTGGCACGAACACAGAAACGTATCAGATGCAAAGAAGAAACAGAAGAAGAGCAAAATTAGAAAACGGCAAACAGAGAAGGAAGGTCAGAAAGTCTTTGTCAAACACACACACACAACAGCTCTGTGGATTATGGGAAAATTGCTGAACAAACAAAAGCAGAGAAAAAGGAAAAACACAGAAGGAAAACTGAGCACGAACCGGTGGTGAGGCAAGGTGAGAAGTGGAGGAGCTGCTACAAGAGCTGGCTGATGCAGAACTGGGCAAACAGGTCATGGTCACTGCAGGGATGGCTGCAAAATGATTGTTAGAAAACTTCATTAGAAAAAAAAAAAGTGAAATAACGCAAAGTTTTGCTTTAAGGTTAAAAAAATGTGTCCAAGCATTACACAGAATAACATTTACCGGTACTTACACTTTTTAATAGATGAGCTGGCATCCAGGAAAGGATGGGTGAAAAACTCATCTGCAAGGAACACAGAGAAAGATACAAGTTTATAGGCACTGAAACCAAAATCACGGTAGAATTCAAAATAACAAACAGAAATCCCTCATGCTTAGTGTGAGGGATTGCCTTCGAGGCAAGGATTCGATGCAATCAACAGATTTTCTTTAGATAGAAAACTTTGAATCAATTTGACTGTATGATCGGGTGAACTGTAAAGTGCCTTGAGATGACGTGTTGTGAATTGGCGCTATAGAAATAAACTGAATTGAATTAATGAATACTATGTCCAGTTATTGCTCTCCTAATAGATTTTAATCTTTTTTATCTGAATAAATGAAGGACAGTGCCATTTCAAATATGTCATGAAGAATGCAGCTCTGGGTCTGATAAATAAATTTTTTAATGACCAATGTCAGAATTATTTAAATTCACCTTAGACCGTCTACATACCCCTCAGAAAAATAAGGGTTTCCCCTATTAGGTATTACACACCAGTCACAATGATGTTCACAGTGAAAGGAAAGGCTGTATTTAGTGCTGCAGCCAATTGTCTACAGGGTAAGTTTAGAGAGCTGGAGAGCAACGAGCAGAAATATATAACTGGACCAGCTCTAGGCTGCAGTTTGACGAGGAATATCAATAAGTCATACTTATGCTGCGTTCACACCGGACGCAGCAAGAGCAGCAAAATCGCGTCTGCTGCTTCATTTTTGCTGGTTGTACCAGTTTAGTTCTGACGCACTGCTGAAGCAGCTTTGCTGCTCTGGATGCGTGGCGAAAAGAGGGTGTGACGCGCATTGAGCGGAGCTTCCCTATCCTGTCTTTGCCTTGCAGCTGTATTTGCTGTGATCGGTGGGAATAAAGTAGTTTTAATATGTTTTTAAGTGAGAAAGTCCACCTGAAAACTTAATCTGTGCAGTCAGTTCATCCAGATTACCATCCTGCCTTCCAATATTATTTCTGTCTGAGCTGCTCAGACCCCCACATACCAGCGGTGCTCTGTCAGTAGGAATCACATTCAACAGCAGCTTATGCCCCGGTTGCCTCCTCGCCGTTCGCCATGGCGGCTGGAAGGTGGTTTTCATGTACATAATCCAAACTGAAGGCACCAGGATAATAAAGGCGAACACGCTTTGTCGGCAGGTTTCAGCATTTTAAGTTAATTTAGGCATTAATAAAACTGTTTCAGAGGAGTGATCCCAGCGCTCTGTATCATCAGCGATGTGTCTGTCTCCCTGGCATCTCCCAGATGAGCATCTCCGATTGGTTGATGAGGCGCGTCGAGCAGCAAAAGGTCAATTTTTCTGTCTCGATCAGCAGCGCGTCGCGCGCGTCAGATGCTTAAACACTCCCGACATGCTACTTCAGCTGCTCAGACGCGCTGTGTCTGCTGCTCAAAACGTGCTGCGGGACCTTTTGCTGCGCCTTGAAGCACGTCAACCATTGACTTTGCATGTAAACTCGCTGCTTCTGCTGCGCCTGCTGCGTCCGATGTGAACGCAGCATAAGACATGCTTATATCTGTCATGCAACGTTTCAGTGCATAGAAAGAAAGTGCTTTTCTTTTGAAGGCAGAAATAGAAGTCAAAAAGTTCTGAAATAGTGAAACAAAAAGGATCAATCAATTAAAAAAAGACTGGGGCCTGGATGTTGATGTATATCTATTCTTCAATGACAGGCTGAGATCAGTATCACGGACAAGAATATCCTGTTCAGTATTTTTGAAATGAAGAAGCCACTAGCAATAGAAATGTCAGATAAGTAAAGTAATTATTTCTTTACAGAATTCTATTATTTCTCCATTGACATAAATTTTACCTCAGAGATGGATGGTCCAAAATGGGATTTTCTAATATTTGACATTGATGTATAAGCTAATTAACTTCTAACTTTGTCAAGTCTTTTAAATCCAGACCAGTGAATCTAAATATTGGGTGATACTTTGAAAAACTATTGAACTGTTTGCTGCTTAGTGCATTTAAGGAACCACATAATATTTTTTCCCCCTCAAATAAACACAAATCTAAATAAAGAGCCATGAAGCGGCTTCTTTATAGGATCAGAACTGCTGAGCCTTACTGACCAAAGTCCATGCGATCCTTGTGGTTGCGTTGCAGCAGACCCAGCAGCAGGTTCCTCAGATGGCTTGAAGTCTCTCTGGGGATACTACAAGAAAATAAAACATTTAAATTGAAGAAGACTTTTATGGTTTTCACTCAACCGCTTTTTTGCAAAGATCATTTTTAATTGTTTATCTGGACAAATAAACCTCTCACAGATGATGACAGAACCAACTTGTTTTTAAACATTCAAGTTGGCAAGCCATAGCTAAATTCATTTTAGCAAAGAAGCCTACAAAAAACAGGAAGAAAAAGACAAAACAAAGGAAGTTCTTATGATTTATAATGTTTAATCATTCTTACTTGGGACTAAGGTTCTTGTTTTTCTCATAGAACTGCCGGAGGTCCTGTGGGCTGCTGGCCTAACAGTGAAAATGTAAAAGAATGTAAATGTCAACGGAATGTGAACACAACTGCAACACAATGGAAGCTTATCACAGAGTCAATCTGTCATTGCTCATCTTTCCTCTGTGACTCTAACTCTCTACAGTTTTAAAAACATTTAAAAAACAAACAAGTTTCACTTTTGCTGGACCAGTTTAGACCCAAAAGAAAAAAAAATAATACAAGCTTAACTCTACTGCACCCTCTAATCTATTATCTAACTTTATTATAACAGAATAAAACAGCAAATAAAAGTGATGTATAATGTTTCCTTATTGCCTGTTCCTGACCAGTAACCAGTCTAACCTTTGGCTCAGTGAAAATCTTCTCCCCTTTTCTGCTCCCATTGTTTATATAATATAACATTTATGCAGCCATTTTTTTTTGGGCGTTAAGAGATTCCCTTTCTCTTAATGTGTTTTTAAAAACAATTATGCGTGTTTTATGGTAACAGTAAAGTTTAATGAATAGTTTGCAAGCTGGAATGACAGGAAAGACAGGTTTGCATTTTAGTCTGTGTAAACTTAGCAGCAATGATGCAAAAGAGCAACTTCACAGTTAGGAGTAGGTGCAGTGCTGCAACTACCAGATAAATAATAGCGTGTATTTAACTGTTAGAAGAACCCATGCATTGTCAGAAAGAAGCTTAGAATGAGTGTTTACATTAAAAATCTAACTGAAGCGAGGAAAATTTGCTATTTATACACAGAGAGACAACCATAAATCCAGTTTAAAAGGTTTTCAACCTTCACTGAGAAGCTTTAACCATAAAGGGAAAAATTATTGCTGGTTTTACCTGAAAAGGAGCTTTTCCAGTCAGACACTGAAACACGATGGTTCCTATACTCCACAAGTCAGCCTTGGCATCATAGTTCTGGGACATAATCACTTCAGGTGCCTGTTGAAGCAGCGGGGAGATTTATGCAGCAGTAAAAACACAGAGGAACCCGTTTAGTGATTGTCTGTAGAAGGTGTTTTACCATATACATAGGAGAGCCGCAGAGCGTAGCTGCCATCATGTTGTTCTGAAGGTGTCTGGCAAAGCCAAAGTCCGCTGCAAAGAGAGGAAGGGGGGAACAGGTGAGGTCAACAAGTCTACGAAAGAAAACAGTTTCCACTGACAGATTTAGCTTTGAAGAAATTCTTTAATTTGACCAACATGTTTTATATGACCTTGAGCGAAAAAAAAAACAAGAGAAGGACATTTTGAATTTAACCTGTCGAGGAAGTAAAAGATACGTTCAAACTTCAAAACCTTGAAGCTCATACCAACCATACTCAAAATTACAAGATGTGACAAAAGCTAGCCAGCAGTTATTAGAGACAGAAAAATAAGAGGAAAAAAAGAAAAGAAACATACACTCCTTGAGAAGTTTGCAATGCTTTAAAAGGCTATAATCCAACCAAAGCTCCTTGTTCTTATTAAAACTCATCTGATTGGCCGTACAAGCACCCAATGAAAACTTACACACAATAAAAGATCTAAGTACACTTAAAGAGACTTATTTAAATATAAGCAAAGATAATTGTGCATTTTTATACTTTTTGAAAGTTTTAAGCTTAGAGAAAAAATAAAAAAATTAATCAGAACACAGAAAATCCACAAACCCAACCTGAGTCCTAATTTTAAAAGCGATTGCACCTGTTATCTCAGACCAGCTCAACAAACCATATTATGCATACAGGTGACCCAAAAAACACGAAAGTGGTTCAAGTTATCAGAAAACACCAGAAATGTTACGGTTCTATATTTCTGGGGAATCCCCGGTCGGACTGACTTTACTCAGATACAGAACGACCCCAAACACTGATAATATCACTTTAGAGGCCTTACTGAGAAACTGAAGCTGTGGGCAGATTGCTGCTCGCAAGCTCTTGTTCTTAAATGACAGGAATGAGTAACCAGGGAAAAAAAAGAGCAGATTGAAAGATTCTCTAACCTCTCTATTTCAGCTCAGACAATACAAACATGCTACATATACCATAGCTCGCATGATGAGGCAGAGAAGGAGTTTGGGGGAAAAACTTTGATAAAAATATGATGGATCAGGATTTGTGGCCTGCTTTTTTTTTTTTTTTCCTACGTGACCGTGACGTTCTCAAACACCATTACTCTTATCCCGAAATAGGTAACAAAATAATATTTTTGCAAGTAAAAAAAAACTCTTATCATTTATACTTAAAAGGTCAAAAACTGTTAAAGGTTATAAACACAATGAATCAGAGATTTTATAGATTTATCTAACTCTAGTCTATTATTTCACATGTTACTCATACATATATATTGTATTTATGCAGCACTCAATAAAATGTATTTTGCTCATACCTCCAAATTTTTATTGTTTTTCCATGTTATTCTAATCATTTTACTTTTTTCATGTGTTGTGAAATAGAATGGTCAATAAAAAGACTTAAAAAAAACAAAAGAAAATGGATCTAATAGGTTCCTAATAATAGGAAAAGGATCAGATTCACAAATCAACAGTTAGCAAATGACATAACAGCAAGACGTATTTTGTTTCTGTTTCCTAGTTATTTATCGATTTATTCCATTTTCATTGTGTTCGTTTTTTTTTTTTTTATATATATATATATATTAAAGCTCTAAAGAGCAGAAGTAAAAACAGAGCAAACAAGGCTGCACCTGTTTAAAGTCACATATAGTGAAGCCTACCGATCTTGATGCAGGTGTTGTTGGAGTGAGACTTTCGGCCCGATGGGTAAGACAGCAGAATGTTCTGGGGTTTGAGGTCCCGATGGATTATTCCTTTGGTCTGCAGGACTTTCATGGCCCCTGCTATTTGCTGCAGGAAAACCCGAATAGTGTCCTCACTTAGAGTGCCTTTGGCTGCAGAGACAAAACGGAAAACACAAAAAAGTCCAACAATCATTTGGAGTAAACCTATGTAGACCAGACTCAACTATCATTGCTGTGGGAGGAATTTTATATTTTATTAATTTTCAAGGATTTGTTTTTTCTTTTTCTTTTAAGGCCACATCGGAACTCTTTTCTTAAATACTAAATCTACTTTTTTCTTCAGTTGCTCAGATTATATCATGTATCCAGTTGCAAACTTAGAGCTATATAAAAGAGAATAACAATGAATTCCAACATAAATAACTTTTTTTTCCTCACCCAATCTCTTTAATGATAGACAATGTCATTTTCTTTGCATCATACAGGATGCATCCCTGCAACCAAACCTCTTGCAGCACAAAACTAAACTGAAAAATGACTTAAATGAAGCAAAAATGCTAAATAATTGAAGGTCTAAACCTTTTTCCGAATCCTTCAACAATAATTCTCCCTGTAAAGCTCAAGTATCACTGAAGCAGAACTCAATTGTCCCTTAGAACGGCTGCTCTGATGTTGAACCCTGCTTTCACTTGAAGAATGTCCCTCTCCTGCAGAGCGTCATGCATGCTCTGGCTGTCTGGATGGACATTCTGTATATTTTACTGATGTGACCTATCCACCACTTTTATACCAGATAGAGCCTCAAACTAAAACAAGTCAATCACACAAATAGGATACAGTTTTCCTTTAAAGATTTCCTGGCATATAAAGAACACCACTTCAGTATGCAAGAAAATCTGAGACAGGACATGTGAACGATGAATGACTTCTGGACATTTTCCATAAAGAAACAACTCATTTTGATTGTATGTTTTTACTGAAAGGCCTGAATGGAACCATTGTTATACTTACAGTGTAAGTAGTCAGCAAGATCTCCTCCATTGCAATACTGGCATTAAGAAGAGAGAAAGAATTGGTTAGAAATGTAAAAGTTATAATAACCTCATACATAAAACCTGGGGTCATCTACACCAAGAATATTAAATAAAGAAGCTATAATTAAACATGCTATAGAGCACCATTAATTCTAAAATCTTCATAACTGAAGTTATTTTATAAGATGTTGTAGGTTATTTAATCAGAAACAGATCCTCTTAGCTGGACAAAGAAATCTACAAAATATATAATAATAAAGGCAAAAAAATGACTCTCTCACTCAGAAAAACACTACTGATCATTTTTATGGTTCCTGCAATCCTTAATCAGCTTCACAACCAACTTCAGCAGATGCAGCATAATCACCCCCCCCCCCCCACACACACACATGTGAGAGGGGTCAGCTAATTATATATCTGACCCTGGGAGAGTTGCAACAATACAGTGCTGAGCAAACAAAGCAACGAGTCGTAGCAAAGCTTACCTCCATTACTAGGTACACTGAGCTGGCAGTTTCCTAAAGAGGGAACAGTTAAGAGAGAACACAAACACTTTTCAGTCAAACAGTAATGTGAAAGCAGCCCGTCAGAGCACAAACACAACTTATAAACTAATATTTGAGGAGGGTAACATCTACGTTCTAAAGACTCTAAAATGTTCACTTTATTTGATCTTTGGTAAAAGCTTAAGCTTTATTCTATGTTGCAACAACAATCCTGTTTTTTAATGGCGCCCCATTTGTAAGGAGAACACATCTAAGCTTATTCTGCTGTTTCTCATGTTGGTTACCAGCTTGGTCACACGGCTGAGACAGGGAACCCATTCTACAGCAAGCTTTGTAGGTGTGTTGGTGACTCTGGAACCAACTTCGAGCCCAACTCCAACAAGTGTTTAATGGGCTCGAAGGCAGGACTGCAGGCCTTTCTAAGCCCTCTGCTCCAAAATACTATCTGATAAACGTAATCCAGTTGGTTTGGCCAAAAAGAGAGAAGATAAGAATAAGATAAGGATCTACTGCTGATTTAAATTGACTAATAGATGGACTAAGAAGCACTGTTACGGGAAAAAACTAAATAAAAATTGATCAAACACTTTTATCTTATTTTGTACCTTTCTGCTTAATTTGTTTATTTGAGCAAAGGTGGTGTCGGATGAAGGAGTTGGTCCTGCAACCGGCAGGTTTTTGGTTCAAGCCCTGGCTCTGACTTTCTGTGCCGTTGTGTCCTTGGGCAAGACGCTCCACCTACATGGCTTAGTGATGGTGCCAGCGCACAGCAGCCTCGCTTCTGTCAGTGAGCCCCAGGGCAGCTGTGGCTACAATGTAGTTTACCACCATCAGTGTGTGTGTGTGTGTGAATGGGTGAACGGTAAATGGTAAATGGACTGTACTTATATAGCGCGTTTTTTCAAGTTAGGAGACTTGACCAAAGCGCTTTACACTACATTCATTCACCCATTCACACACACACTCACACTGAATGACTGAATGTAGTGTAAAGCGCTTTGGTCAAGACTTCAAAAAGCTCCACATAAGTACAGGCCATTTACCATTTATATTTACTATAAATAGATCATCTATCACATTTAAAACAAGTGATAGTTATATTTATATTTACAATAAAATTTAATTCAAAATGCTTTGTTGATTCATGAGGGAAAGTAAATGTTATAACTCTTAGAAGGGTTACAACTCTTACTTGCTGAATTTACTTTAAGAAACTTATTTCAGCTTAAATATAAGAGCAAAATGATCAAAGCTGTTTGTTTTCTTTTGTTACCAGCCATTATGAACTCAATCACAGAAAAAAAAAACATCAAGATTAACCATCAACACTCAAAACAAAAAGTTTGTTAAATTTGCAGATTTTTACAGTCTGCCACAATACCTTTGGAAACAGAAAAATATGAAGAGAAATAAAACAAAAACAAAACTGAAAACATACAGCGGCCGCCTTCCAAACAGCCCCTTATCACATAGCAACAGATGACAGCCATCTCTCATTCTGACCCCATTTCAGTATCTGTTTGAACGCAGCGGTCAAAGGGCAGACTGTTTTCTGTAGTCCAGCTGAGTCAGGGCTTCTGCCGCTGGCTGCAGAGACAAAACGGACAGCAAACAGGTTCTGGCAGAGAGCCGACGGCCTGAGCTCACAGGCTGTATCGGAGAATCGAGGAAAAACATTTCTGGTTAATAAAACGTTTACCCTCGTTTCGAAAGGTTTAGCAGAACAGCAAGTTGATCTAAAATCCAGTATGATATCTGACCACTTTGCAGAGTATTTAGTATAGTTTTATGGTTCAACAAAAGGGAGGGGCTAGAAAAGATTATTATGGGAGGATAACCTTAGGTAGAAAAAAAAATGGGCAAAAATAAATTGCATAATGCGTTTAAATTACGCCTTTCAATAAAAAAAAAAAAAGAAAAACACTTATAAGCAAGAATATTCCAACTGACAATGATTAATTAAAATAAATTACATCCACCTCATTTATTAGAAGGTTTTTAATGAATGTACTTATAGTGAACATAATTTCACCATTTTGCAATACTGCTTATTACAGAGCAACACCAGAGGTCTAATAAACTGGGATTAGCTGGATAATTAGTTGGGCTGCCTAGGGTTTTTTTTGTGTGTGTGTCCGCTTTGTTTGCATGTGCTGATGGGGACAATAATACTTCCATACAAAGTGGGAACACTGACCCACAGCAGAGAAAGCTGAAAATGGGTCAGATCCCACATCAGGTCAGACGAGGCAGGGAGCAGAGGAAGGAACATTTAAACGTACAAATCTTTGGTATGCCTTCATTTAAGGAGCAGACTCAGAAAAGTGAATGTTAAAAAAAAGTGGAAAATATTATGAGAGGATTTTTGAAACATTTATGTTAATAATGAAGCAGAATTACTTAAGACTTGCTGTTTTGCTGTTAGATGTCATCTGTCTTTCCAATACTGACTAAAACAGACACATCATGAAAGCCAGTTTTTGCTGGGATGCTGTTTTTTTCCTTCAGTGTCATTTTCTGTTTGTCTTTTCCAAAGAGGTGAATCTTTGGACTAATTACTCCCCAGAACAGAAACATGTAATCTAAGAGGGCTGACTTGGACTGCCCTACACATAGACAAACTGCTGAGAGAACATGTGTGGATCTGGGGGTTGGTAACTTATACTTTGGCAGCTTCTTGCAAGAGAATTTCATTCCACCAAGCTGCTGATAATAACCTAACAGAGCAGCTCTTCACATATTTCCCAATAACAACACAAGACTGCAGTGTCAAAGCCACTACTGTAGCTCAGTTTATATGAACTATTCATTAAAAAGCTTACAAGTCAAGCTGCACTCTAAAATAAATAGTGAATAAAATCTTATCTTTAACCTTTGCCATCAGGGTTATTTATTTTAATTCCGAAATCTAACCTTTTTGATTTATACGTACTTGAAGGGCAAAACTCAAGTAAAAAAAATTGAAACTAGTTATAGAGATTAAATATAAAACTTAACACCCTCCATAAAATTCGTTAAACAAAAGGAGCCCTCTGACAACCGAACTGTTGTCTTGCTAACATAGCTTAGCCTCGAATAATGTAAATTAGCATTGTGCTTTTTTCACCCAGCTGGCAGGCTGTTAGTTAGGGAATTAAAAACAAAAAGAGCACCTGCTGAGCTCAGATAAGGCTTTGTTAGGAGTCGTGAGGGACGTGATATAGCAGCTACCCAGGAGGTGTAGCAACAGGCCGCTTCAGACTGGTAACTAGGCTACAGGCAGCATCATCAATGTCGGTACCTAAAGGACAACAGCTGCCCTGACAGCAGGTAGAGAGATCAATATGTGTAGCTACCTGACGTCTGCTTGTGCAAGTGTGAAAACTGCAGAAAACATTTGATTCGTTGTGAAATTTACACTGCAGTTCTCAGAGAGCTTTTCAGGAACGAACACCGCCAATAAGGGGTTATGTGACTGCACATCAAATGTAAACACTGGGAGTGATGACTGAGCTTTAAAGGTCACTAAGTCAGGATGTAAATCAACACTTTACAAAGATCTGCCTTTAGCCGAGGAAAAAAAAAAACAAACAGAGAGGATATAACATAACAGAACTGGGAAAGTATTTTCAGGATGTAAAGAAATGGCTGAAGATATATACGATAAAAAACAGCAACCCATTACAGCTGTATCTACAATTATTGATCGAGAAAGACTATAATCACTTCTTATATCTAAGAATTCCTTTAAAGTGACATGGTTGATATTTCTAATTAAATACATACACACCTGAAAGTCCAGTAATGCAACAATATTCTCATGTTTCAGTTCCTGCAGGAATCGAGCAGAAAACAAACATTGGTTTAAGGTTGTAGCTTAAACTATTCACAGAAACATGTTACCTAAAAAAAAAGCATATATATTCTCTAAACGTTATTTTAATCACACCATCAAAGTTTTGATTGGGATTTTATGTAATGTGCCAAAAAGGATAATTAGGAAATGGAAGGAAACAGTGCATTATTTTATTTTACTAATAATATTTTTAACCAAATGTGTTCCTTCTGAAAACGCTTGAGTCAGATTAGACACACTGTGACTGTAATATAGCTCTGGTGGTCTGTTCAGACTTGTTATCCAATAAAGATGCCCTGCTGGTTTTCCTCTATACAGGTTAGGGCTGAAAAAATTAATCGGATTAATCGTGAGTAATCACTAATTGAAAAAAAAAATAAAATTATTTAGTAATCGATTAATCATTAAATGGAGTATAGAGACTGTAAAACATGCCTTTAGCTGACAGAGCGACACATTTGGAGCAGTATTTGTACTAAAATTGTAAAAAAAAATATATAAACATTTTGCATTTAAGATTTAAAAAATGTTTTTATGTGTCAATATATGTCCAGAACTCCTCAAGTGGTAAAGTTTTAGTTCCACCTGGTTTAATTTAGTAAAAATCCTTCTTTAAGGAACATTTTGCTATTTAATCATTAATCAATTAATCAAAAAACTCACAGATTAATCCAATCGTGAAATAATCGTTATTTGCAGCCCTAATCCAGGTATTATTTAGGCACAACCTTTTTCCAATATGCAATAACATTTTAAAAGCTGTGCAATATTTCCCTTCGACTTGAAGGATATGAGTCTCTAGAACATAATTGAAACCGAACACACAAAATAAAAGTGTATGCATTCTTTGGAAAGGCAGTGTATTTTTAAGAAGGCCTGACATTTGATAATCCCAACTAAGACTGTCTTAGGCTTGCAGGAATAATGTTGACATGCGACCTAATTGTGTCCATGTGCAAAATTCCTCATTGTTGGTAAGTTTTCTAGCGATTATCCCAGTATCTCAGGCTCACCTTCAGTATTTTGATCTCTTTCCCAAGCAGCGTCTGAGATTTGGCCAAGTTTTTCTTGTTTATGCATTTCACTGCCACCTCCAGGTAAGGTTTCTGAAAGAAAAAGAAAAATCACAGTGGATTGTCTTTAGGTTAGGGGAGAAAATGCAGTGCAAACTCATCAGCTGACATTTCAGACAACCTATGTCTGTAGATATAAATAATCACAAGGATGCATTCAACTAAGAATGACATAGAAATCAAATATTTCTATGCAGCAAATAGATCTTTCAGTATTTACAGTCAGAAATGTAATATATAACATGAATCAGTGATTTATTCATATGCTGTTGGGGGTCTATTATAAACAATAGATGATGCATATCAATAAATTAAGCTGCTAAGTAAATTAACACGCAATGATTGATATGCATTAAGTTAGAGATAAGTACATGTTTCAACATGTCTGTTGCTGCCATTAATATAGAGCTTTCAATAGGAAACAATAGGAGTCTGCTGGCCTACAGGTGCTGGTCATAAAATTAGAATATCATGAAAAAGTAGATTGATTTCAGTAATTCCATTTAAAAAGTGAAACTTGTATATTATATTCATACATTACATACAAACTCATATATTTCAGATGTTTATTTTGTTTAATTTTGATGATTACAAATGACAACAAATGAAAATCTCAAATTCATCATATCAGAAAATTAGAATATTGTGAAAAGGTTCAAAATTGATGGCCCCTGGTGCCACACTCTAATCAGCTAATTAACTCAAACCACCTGCAAAAGCCTTTAAATGGTCTTTCAGTCTACTTCTATAGGCTACACAATCATGGGGAAGACTGCTGACTTGACAGTTGTCCAAAAGACGACCATCGACACCTTGCACAAGGAGGGCAAGACACAAAAGGTCATCGCTAAAGAGGCTGGCTGTTCACAGAGCTCAGTGTCCAAGCACATTAATAGAGAGGCGAAGGGAAGGAAAAGATGTGGTCGAAAAAAGTGTACAAGCAAGAGAGATAACCGCACCCTGGAGAGGATTGTGAAACAAAACCCATTCAAAAATGTGGGGGAGATTCACAAAGAGTGGACTGCAGCTGGAGTGAGTGCTTCAAGAACCACCACACACAGACGTATGAAAGACATGGGTTTCTGCTGTCGCATTCCTTGTGTCAAGCCACTCTTGAACCACAGACAGCGTCAGAAGCGTCTTGCCTGGGCTAAAGAGAAACAGGACTGGACTGCTGGTGAGTGGTCCAAAGTCATGTTCTCTGATGAAAGTAAATTTTGCATTTCCTTTGGAAATCAAGGTCCCAGAGTCTGGAGGAAAAGAAGAGAGGCACTTCATCCACGTTGCTTGAAGTCCAGTGTAAAGTTTCCACAGTCAGTGATGGTTTGGGGTGCCATGTCATCTGCTGGTGTTGGTCCATTGTGTTTTCTGAGGTCCAGGGTCAACGCAGCCACATACCAGGAAGTTTTAGAGCACTTCATGCTTCCTGCAGCTGACCAACTTTTTGGAGATGCAGATTTCATTTTCCAACAGGACTTGGCACCTGCACACAGTGCCAAAGCTACCAGTGCCTGGTGCCACAGACTGATCGACTCCATGCCACGCCCGCATTGCTGCAGTAATACAGGCCAAAGGAGGCCCAACTAAATACTGAGTGCTGTACATGCTCATACTTTTCATGTTCATACTTTTCAGTTGGCCAACATTTCTATAAATCCTTTGTTTTTATTGGTCTTCAGTAATATTCTAATTTTCTGATATGATGAATTTGAGATTTTCATTTGTTGTCATTTGTAATCATCAAAATTAAACAAAATAAACATCTGAAATATATGAGTTTGTATGTAATGTATGAATATAATATACAAGTTTCACTTTTTAAATGGAATTACTGAAATCAATCTACTTTTTCATGATATTCTAATTTTATGACCAGCACCTGTATATTTGAATCAGCAAACCTGTCCTGCAACATCTGCACATTTGCATCCTTATAAAAACAAAGACAGTCACAGAGGATTCTTTGCATTTAGGAAACGTTTTGAAGGTAGAGCGATGATAGAATAAAAATTGCGTTTTATGCGTTAGCTTGGTGCTTTTCAGGGAATATCCTGTGTTTTAGACCAGGCCTCTTAAGGCCGTACAATAACAACAAACCTCCCAGGTGGCCAACAACGCTAATAGTCTTTACATAATGGACTAAATGCATTTAACAATGTGTATATTTTTTATGTTGATTATAATTACTGCATCTTTATAAGAGTAAAAGGGAAATCACCTCTCGATGTCTGCCTTTGAAGACCACAGCAAAGGCGCCGTGTCCTATCAGGTCCTTCCGACTGAACTCAAATTTCCCCACAGTCTCCATGGAAAGTCCGATTTAGTCCAACTGTGACCTGGACAGATAACCGGGGAAGCTCGGGTGTCCCAGTCCTTCCTCCTCTGTCAAGTGGGGGCTGCAGCAGAGACGTTCAGCCCCTCTTTCGCTTGCCATAGACTGGCTTTCCAACAGCAAACTGTCCTCTTCTCTCATGTTCACACGGTTCCCAAAAGGAGTTCAGTCCCTAACAGAGTAGCATGACTGTTTCCATCACCGGTAAAGCGACCTAAACGAAGTTAGCAAACTTAAAACACGGAAAACCGACGACTGTAGCCTCTCCGCATCTGTCTTTGACGTTCCACCTTAAGAAGCAGTTCGCTGCGTTTTGTTTATATACAGAAGATCCAGACTTTTGTTGCTTTAGACTTTCCAACCGGAGAAAAGACGACAAAAAGACCCTAAAACAGGCTGGTAACAGTTGTTGTCTGCTGAATGCGATGGCAGACAAACGCAATATGTCGTAAAATAGCAGCTGACTTCGCAGGAAAGTCACAGCACCGATGCTCACAACAAAGCAGGATCTGCTTTCGATGAGGAATTGCGCATGCGCAGCGCAGTTACAGCTGAAGCTTGACGTCACTCATACGCTTTTTTTCCCCCCTTCTCGGCAGCCGTAGAAAAACAGCATCAACACATTCAACCTAGAAAATGTGTGCATTAATTAATAAGTTTCATCTTTATGGACATATACAAAAACTATGTAGTGAAATGTCAAAATGTCAGTTTTTTTTTACTAATAAAAGTTAACATGATGCAAGAAACTGTCTTGTTGCAGAATGAGTCTGTCTTTTATTTTAATTTAATTTTTTTAAGTTTTGTATGTTTGCATTGGTTGTAATATTACTCCCTGTTTATTTATTAATTAATTTTTTGTTGCCTTGCACAAGTTAAGTTGATGTCCTGTATATAACTGTTATTTTCTCTTTTTTATAAGAAAGAAAAGTGGAGATTCCTACTTGAAAATGTAAATTAATGTCTTCTGTTCAATAAAAAAGAAAATGTGTGCATGGGAAAATCTATGTAGTAGAGTTGTGATCACATCACAGCTGGTTATAATTAAAATGTTTATTTACTATATCTTTTATAATATATATAATATATTATATTATAGTATATAATATATTATATTGTAGTATTATAATATAATAATACTGGTCTTTTATAATATTTAAAAAACGTCACAGATTGCTAAAATTCTTATAAACATAAGCAAATTACGCTTAATTAATTTCTTTATTTGGAATAATAAAAAAATACAAATAAACACAGAGATAAGGAATCTGTATAGATCCATATTTAAGCATGGGATCAAAAAGTTTAGAATTTGCTTAACAGTTTATGTATTTAAATCAATGATTTTTTAATAATGACAATGAACATCTTTACGTACATAAAGGCCCTATAATTAGTTTTTTTTTTTCTCATTTGTAACCTACAATAGACTACATAAAACATTTCTGTCAATAATTAGCATTTATCTAAACCATCCCATCTGGAAGGTGACTTTAATTTTGAAGTCAACAAAATTGTGGCTGTGAAAAATACTATAAAAATCATATTTTCACAAAGGAGAAAATAAAACTCACTAAATGTTTGAAGCTAGGAGTATCACACAAAAAGTGAGCTTATCATATGTATGTGTTATCATCTAAGAAAAAAAGTGCTTAAATAATGTCAATCTGAGCTGAAAAGCCCAAGAAGTGGATTAGTGAAAAATTATGGATTTTATCATTTTAAATCTTAGTAAACAAAAAATTTGATTAATCGAATGTACCAAACATCGGTTAGAAATTAACCAAGATGCCAGATCATTCTAAACAATCAACATTTATCAGACGTCCGAGGTGCCACATTCACATACCGTGGAAATATCCAGCCATCACTGCATTTAGCAAAAAGGGAAAGTATTGTGTCACAGATTTAACTTTGCTTTGGTGTAAAATGTAAATGTATGTAATGTAAAGTGTAAAATTTACCCAGGACAGGTAAAAGAAAGTGTATTTAGTCCTGTGGTTTGACTAAACTTAACTGAAGCGATGAATAATGTCCATCATTAGATTTAGAAGTGAAAAGCAGATGCTTGCAAGCTTGAGAATACCGATCCAGCCGTGAAGCATGGAGATGGCAGCAGGATTTTGTGTGGGAATTTTGTAAATAATGGACTGGCGACTCTTCAAAAAATGGATTCCATGAAATTGGAAGGGAAAAATATAACACAGTCCAACAATTTTAACTATTCAGGCCTGGGTAGTTAATAAAGGTATTTTTTTATTGTTTGGTTATAATACATTTTAAGATTTTTTTTGTGCGTTTGCTCATTTTTTTTGTAAATAATTTTACAAAGAATTTTTTCACGTATCTGTTACAGCAGCTCTATATGTGGATTCTTGGATTCCAAGTCCCGTCTGACATTAAGTCTTGATCCGTCACTCACATGATCTTGCAGGAATCTGCTCTCCAGAACAGTTCTGGCTCTGGAATGCTGCTGTATTGGCTTTCATCTCACTTTGTTCTTACACCTTCCAGAACAAGTTCAGGACTTTGATTTGTAGAAATCTAATCAGCTTACTTTTACTCACTGAACATTTCTAAATGAGGGGTGCACAAAGTGTTGCCTGTGGAGTATTTGTATACATCGGAGTTCAATCCTCGTACAAAAATTTACAGATTTGACTCTTTTTTTAGGGACATTTTTATATATTCCTGAAATCAAAAGTTTTATGTTCTTTCTTTGCTTGTACTTTAATTAAAAAGTAAAGGCAGGACCATAAATATATGAAAAAAACTTTGCTTAGAAGCACATTTTTCTCTTCCCACAGCCAGCTTTTTTAACAAAAGAATGGCTCATACCCGACCTTGTTTCTGAGAAAAGAGAAAAACATATATAATAATTTTCCACTTCAAGTAAATAGAAAACATTCAGAATCTTCTTGTGTAATACTCTTTTTATAATGGGCTGGATTTTCAATGAATTAAAAACCCCTTTTTCAATCCGACTACTTTTCTTAGTTTTATGAAATTATTGTTTATTGTTAATGTTTTGTTTGTTGAGGAGGTAACAGTGAAATGATTCACTTTCAGTTTACTTTTGTGTTTTTAATAAATGAAAACTTGACAATTGTTGCTTCAGTTCAATAAAAAAGCTCAAGAAAACCTTTTCTATATTAATGGATAGTATAAGAAATGGGTTAATCTGAGATTTTTCTAATTCAGTTCAAATTAATCAATTTGTCTTGTTATATAGTTGTTTAGTTTGTAGCTTTATGACTCAGTATGTGTGGAGTTCATTCAAAGTCTAAACACTTCAGACACATTTAACGCATTGGAAAATTTCCTGATGTTATTTTTCTATCATTGACATTTGCTTTCATATTGAATTAGTTTAACATAAAGCATGATTAATTTTATAAGCTATTTTGTAACAGATCAATTGTTTTTGATCCATAAGTATCGCAAACCACATGGTTCCCTGATGTTTTTATATAGAATACTGCTCTTCCATTTGCTTTGCAGATTTTTTGTTGAAAGAAAACCAATGCATTTAAACTGTACACCAAATCTATGCACAATAACCAATTACACAACAATATAGTCTGTAAAAGTCTTCTGATGAATATTCAGCATATATTTCATATAACGACCATAAGAGGGCAGTGACGATATGCAAAAGACTTCAAACTTTTTCACATGCATACTCTTGCCTGAGATAATCCAGTAAATGTTTAAAATATAAATTATTTTATAATATTTCCTTTCATAATGCCTGTCTGTTGGCTAGTTTTGCAATGACAATATTAATTATTTAAATAATAGAAATATATATATAAAAAAATAAAATAAACTGGAAAAAGCCTGATCTTTGACTGTGGAATAAACTGTGAATAAATAAACCATTCGATCCATATCAGCTATTATGATGTCAAACTGCAGCAGTCAGACTGATTACTCTCAGCTAAAAGTAACAAATTTTTAAATGCGATTGCAGCTGGGTAAAGGGATGTAACAATGATAAGGTGCAGTCTGGTGATATAGAATGATAGATCTGCATAATAAACACATGATAATTCTGCTTTCTTCCCTGTGCTTGATATACCATGTCAGACAGTTTACCTGAGCAGGACAGTTGGTGTTTCTGCAGAAGGATGCACACCACACAACCTTACAGGTGTCTAACTCTGCAGGAGTTTGCTGTGATGTTGACTATTTTTGTTACTCTGTGGCTCCAACAGGATGATTGATTGGTTCTTCCTGGCCCACTTTAGCTTTCTGTCTGTGTCAGTCAGTGGAAGAGCCTTCAGGTGTTTGCTCTGGGTAAAGATGGAAATTCCTAGCAAGCCACGTCCCGAAGTATGCAAACACTGCATACAAATACTAAAGGCGGGTCTTGTTTATTTTCTGTGTGAATAAAACATTTAGAGCCACTCATGGCAATAATTCTTATAAATAAATGACACAAAAAAGTCTTTTAAGATATTGATTAGCTTGAGCTATGCTGAGAATGAAAAAAATAATACAACATTGTTAAGATTTTCAGATGCAAAACCATAGATAAGACACATAAAAATAAACCCAACCCTATTAAAATGCTGGGTTATTAAGATGTAACAAAGGAGACTATGATCAATCCTTTTCCCACCTTCAACGTGTCATGTATCCCTATATTCAACACTATATAGGAAAATGTAGTAATGTTTTTAAAAAAAAATAAAATAAAAATAATACTTGATTATGTTTTTTAGTTTTAGCTTTAAGTTGTCTGTCAGTATGGCTCATCTTGATTTGGTAAAACTGTCTACTCTACATTGCAAAACTTCTTTAAACCAATCAGATTCATTCTCATGTCAATAGCCCCTTTCAGGTCAATCTGCAAAACTTCTGACAGTTTTACAGCTGATCTATGTCATAGCTATTCCAAAACTTCCATCGACCTTTCAGAGATTATGAGTTGAAACTGATTGGTATGTAAAGCTTTTTAGGATTCCATTAACCCTCAAAAAGGCAGAGTTATTTTGCTGCTTTACCTGGACACCCATACAGGAGCTGAGTTAACAATAAACAAAAGTCGGTTCTGTGTAAACCAAGCAGTTCCTCATACAGTAGCTTGTTAACTTGGACCATTATACTATGAATGCCCAACCCTATTGTGTCAGATAACTTTGTAACTGAAAACACAATCTGCATAAAGTGAACGTTTCACACAAAAAGATTAGCGGTAGAAAACTGCTCCAGGACTCTATGTTTGATAAGGACAATAATCATTTCTTTGCAAATAACCACCCACTGTAAATATTGTGATTCATTCCTACGACAGTTCCTTTCCTTAAACAGTGATGACATTTTTGTGAGTAAAGGCATTTCAAGTTGGTAGAAGTTTCCTTTGGTTTGGGCTCCTCTTGTAAGGGTCTCTGAGTTTTTTTCCTTTGTTTTGAGTGAGCTTCCTGTCACAGAGAGGATCTTTGCTGGTGGCTGGGTGACCCACGCTGCAGCACACCTGAGAACGCTTCTCAGTCTAGATGACTAGCGTGTATAAGGAGGTAA